AGATGAAATTTTTTTTTTTTTGTTAAAGTGATCAAATGAATCATACAACAACTGTTAAAACAATATACACATTAACTAGGGATAAAAAAAAAAGACTGGGAAAAAAATGATAAAGAGAGATACATATGTGTTGGGTCATGGGTGAATGAGTTTGCAAATATTGATAACGTACGTGTATTACGTTAAATGAAACTTTTATTAATTTATTAGATTGTCAAATCTCATGTTAGAAGGTTGGTTTTGGGATTGACATAATTTGCACATGAAATCAGTTTCAGATTCACTCAAAGCTTTTCAAATGAAATCATTTGTGAAAATCCACCAAACTTGAATAACATAAGACTTTAGTTAATAATTGTAAGTATAAGAACCAATAACACTAGATTTTAAACTCTTTTAATGAAGATTTTGCAAATATAAGAACCAATAACACTAGATTTTAAACTCTTTTAATGAAGATTTTGCAAATATAAGAACCAATAACACTTGATTTGAGTAAAGTATTTAAAATCATTGATTAAATAACATTAGACTTGGGTTAGAGTTAGACTCTATTAAAATCCATTATCCAATAACACCCACTAAGTTTGCTATCATGTTTGCAACATATTACGCACATGTGGTGTTATGTTTATAAATATAATTATATTAGGAATATTATTCAAATTCATAATTTGAATTCACACCAGTTTAATATTTATTTGTTATTAATTCAGTTACAAAAAAAATTAAGATTTGGTTTTGTTATCAACTACATTAAAAAAAAAAGTAAAGAAAAGGTGGTTTGTTTATTTTGGGACAGGAACCCGTCTCATCTCGTTCTTTCTTAGATGTGTCAAGTTTTTCTATCTTATAACCATGGTTTTAATAATAATTTATCCATTTGAGATAGTGAATTTTAGTCCAACAAATGAAAAATAGGTCAATGATTGAGACTTATTCGTAGATATATTTATTTCGTATAACATTTGTAACATAAACATACATTGGTATGTTTTTATTAAGTTTATGAATGCTTGAAATAATAATCGCTTCACAATAAACTTTGGCTCGATAGGATAGCGAATCCAAATTGAATGTGAACCAGATTAGTAATCATCTTAATTTCCGTTAAACCCGTGAACTATCAAACCGGATGAAAACAAAAGAACTTCCCTTCCTAGATAATTTAAATATATTTCCTAAAAAAACTTCCCGTCCGCTATGCATGCTTCACAACATATTAAAATAATTTTAACCCGTAAAAGATCCATTATTCATAATCCACATTAGTAAATGGTATGTCCGTATATGTTTTAATTGAATTCACGTTATCCTAAATTTTTGTCTCTTATTTTATTGAGAATAATTTAAATAATTATTTTTATTTTCCGAATTACTGTTATCTCTTGTAGTCTATATTAATAAAAAGCAGGTCCACATCTGTCCTGCTTGAATTTACGTTTCCCAAAATTGTCGTTACTCCAAATTTTCCTCATGTATTTTATTAGGAATAGTTTAGATAATGGTTTTAATTTTCTAAATTATACATTTCCTTTATGTAATCGTTATTTCATATCCTAATATTTGCAATAAAAAGGAAAGTTGAAATTAAGTTAAGCTATTAAAATTTCATGTTTCCGTATCATACCAGTTATTTGATATTTGAAAGTTGAAACTGAATTTAACTATCCAAATATCCACATTTTTGTTTCCTCAGTTTTATTGTCTTTATCTAGTAGTTATAGTATTTACTAATTATTTGCTGACAAAAAAAAAGTATGTACTAATTATATGTAATGTTGATTTTATCATTTTCGGTAAATAGAACCAAAAAAAAAAGAAAAAAAAGAAAACAAAATCTGAATCTATCATGATTTCTTTATGTTGTTTGTTTTCAATACTATTTTTTGTCTACACAATTTGAAATTAAATCTGCTGAAAATCGGGTTTGAATTATTTTCATAATATTAGTTTTGGAAATGATTGAGGTTTGAGATTTTGAACTTTATGATTAGTATCTATGATATAAATCAAATTTTTTATATATAAACATAAAATCATGTTACCTATTTTCAAGTGTGGTAAATGGTATGAAATTTTTTTAATTGCTTTGTTATATTAGTTACGTATAGTAGTAATTTTGGGGATTTAGATTTTGTTTTCGATTTCCTTTCCAATTTTTTTTTTTAATTTTAAACGACTTTTAAATATTACAAAGTGTGTAATTTATTTATTTTATATTAATTATGGTTAATACTAATTGTGAAGGATCTAGATCTTGTTTCTTTTATATAATTTTAATAATTAAATTCATTTCCTAAATAATTAATAAGAAATTGTATGGATTCCCAAAGTTGCGTTTTTTTTTTTTGGTGGAATCCAAAGTTGCGTTCTTGTAATAGGATTTCCAAAGTTGCGTTCTTGTAATAGGATTTCTTTTTTGACATTAAATTTCTTTTTTTTTTAAAGATCTTGAAATGTATTACGATTTCTAAATTATTTAATTCTAATTGCATCATAAATAATGTTTGGTACAAATATATTTTCTGTTAAAATGACATAATATCGTTTCTTTTTTTAAGGGATTCTTTAATATATTTATTTTCTGTTAAAATTATTTATTTTGCTGTCATTAATTCTGTTTGGTTATAGGTTTATGATTACATAAAATGTAATTTTTCTTTTTAATTCTGTTTGGTTACACTTTTAAAAAATGCTCCCCTTTTAATAGTATAGATTTATGAGTGTATCTAAGAGAGTTAAAATAAACAAACAAAAAAGTTCATCTTTTATAAATCTGTTTTAAGTTAAGATTAAAATATCTTTTCATCACCAAAAAAAAAGAAACTTTTTGAGGTCTTTTAGGATACAAATAAAAAATATTAAATTGATTCTGAAAAAAATGTGTTATGTTTTTGTTCTTCAATTTCTAAAAGTATGTTAGCTTGACGAGTATTGCTTTTTCCCAAAATTTTCATTTTTCCTTAAGGTGAAGCTTTTTCTCTCTCAATTTTGATTGTGTAAGTAGTGTTTTAAAATGAAATAAAAAGTTTTTTTAGTAAAATAATTTATTCTTAACACCGTGAAAAAAATAAGAGGGAATTTCAAAAATACCCCTTTTCCAATACCACTTTTAAAAATACCCCTCTTTCTAATTTTATCATCAAGTCACTATAAAATTTGAAATTTATCAAAAACATATGTGTAAACTTATATTTATAGACACAAATTATCTTTATATGTGTGTAAATTTCTATATATATTTCATAAATACCGTATAAATACCTTTTAAAAACCTTTTAAAAATCATTTAAAAACCATGTAAAAACTGTGTAAACCTTTTAAAAACCTTATAAAAACATTATAAATATCGTTTAGAACCTTTTAAAACCTTATAAATATTTGGATTTAGTCTCCCAGTAGTAATGATGATCCCAATGTACTTTATAAACCATATAAAAGTTTATAATTTTTCATATTTAAAAAGGGGTATTTTTGAAAATGGATAGAAAAGAGGGGTATTTTTAAAAAGGGTACACCAAAAGGGGTATTTCTCAAACATTCTCAAAAAATAAAGTCTAACGGCGTCTAATCTATTGGTCTTCTTGGTGAGCAAGTTTTTAAAAATATTAAGATTGTGATTTTGTTTCTAGTAGAATTTAAAAAGTAGTTAAGAAAAATATGCTAATAATATGCTGTATAATTGTTTTTTAAATTTGTATAAAATTAAATGCTGTATTTTGTTATAGAATTATTAGGATCTCAAATTTTAAGCTATAATTTACATAGACTTAATGATTTATTTTTTTATAGAATTATTAGGATCTCGATTTGATTAACATATTTAGTGATTACCATATTATTAATAATAATATAATTAAAGCTAAAAATTAGAGATTTTTATTCTATAAAAATATAGTCATCATGATTAAATTTAGGTAAGATCTTAACTGATCAACAATTCGCTAAGATACAATATTGAATGTTGTTAATCAAATCTTTTAAAATGAACGCTTAAGATTTGATCTTTAGATAAACGATTGTGCTTAACTTATTAAATCCGACTAATATATCCATTAATTTAAAAAGATTCGCATGTAAACCCGATTAAGCATGTATTTTATTTCAATTGAAAACTTTGGTGTAAATCTAATGTTTTCTATACATATGAAAGTATGATTATATGAAGAAAAAGTATTAAATGCATCAGTGTGTAAATTTGTAATACATATTGGGACTAAACCTTCCTCAAAGCTCAATGGTTACTTTCGTCTAGTAATCTTCGAATCTTCCACAGTTTCAACGGATAGCTCATAAAATTTAGTGTATCCCGTTACTTGCATCTCAAGAAAAGTCAACTTCTTCGTCAGAGTGGTTTACTTTGATCTCAAACGTGATCTCCTCAAACCTTCCATGCTTATTTTCGCACCCGTCTCGACCACACGGCATCTCGTTGAAGTCCATGATTGATCCCACCGAGGAACGGTTCGATTCGCAGCTGCAGAAGACGCTCCAGTTGGGAACTAAAGAAGCAATCTCTCCATCGATCATATTGGCTATCTTTGTTACATCACTGTCGTCCATCTCCAGCTCTTCCACCATCTCTTTTGCAACGCTTATTGCTGTGTCGGTCTCAATATCAAACGGGAAGTATATGTTTCTGACACACCCTGCAACAATGTACATAATGTAATTAAAGATCCGACATATCACTCTTGTTAAACTAGATTAGAATGTTACAAACCTTCCTTGTCGATGATTCTTAGTTGCAAGAATAGTCCATCACCATTTTCTCTTCTCTTTCCTTTAATGCTTATGTCAACATGACCAGAGCTCTGATCTTCGTCTTCTACAACTTCTTCTTCATCATCATTTTGCAATTGTACTCCATGTGACTCTACAGACTCATTATCGTGGCTGTAGTAACCGTTTGAGTTGTGAGGATGATCAAGAGAGTTGATGTTGGTTTGGTCATTGAAGTAATGTTCAGGTATATGATAAGAATGTCTATAAAGAGTCCCAGCTTCATATATCTCTAGGGATCTTGTATCCGATTCACTTTCATCGGTATAAAGAAAATGGTCGTCGAGTAGTTCACGCGCAGAGAGCCGAAGGGACACTGTGGCCAAACACTTCTCTATAAAGTCTTTAACCTCTGGATCCTTCACTTTGTCTAATCCGGCTGGTTTCTTGCCCTAAGAAAGATAAGTTAGCAATCTTAAAACTCAATATAAAAGCTAATAATCGGTATCATCAGATGGAGTACTGACCGATATAACTCTCTTGTAAATCTGAGCCGGGTGAGAACACTCGCTATACGGGTAATCAAATGTTACCATTTCCAAAACACACATCCCGAACGAGTAAATATCGACTAATTGGTTGTATTCTTCTTTATAAACTTCAGGAGCCATGAACTCTGGTGTCCCTAAAAATATAGCCAAAAACATTTTCAGCCTCATGGTTCAATCATGGACATAGCAAACCAAAAGAGTTGAACAGATTACATACCAACACAATGAGCAGCGTGAGAGTGTTGTAAACAAGCAGCAAGACCAAGATCACCAATCTTGACTTCTCCTTGGTTCCCATTAATAAAAATGTTGTCACACTTGAGATCTCTATGAATCACTGGAGGGTCATGTGTATGAAGATAGTTTAATCCTCTTAAGATCTGTCTACACCAATTCTTCACCGCTCTTATGTTCACTCTCTTGTGTTTTAGCCTATACCTACACCAACATATTAATGAACGTTACATGCTTAATTATGATGATTTGCTAATCATGTGAATATAGAAATAGAAGCTTACTGTCTCAAGGTGCCGGAAGTGAACATTTCAGTGACAAAATTAATGTTTCGATTATCGGTATCGACCCAAGAAGCATAGAACTTCATGATGCTTTTGTGTTTTAAGGTTTTGAGAAGATGGATCTCACAGTAAAGCCTCTCCAGTTCTTGAGGACTCTGCAAGAAATCGTAGAGCTTTACTTGGTTCCATGCTACTTCTATACCTTCATACTCATCAAATCCTCTGTAACTGCAAATCCAAATTAAGGAAACCACAAACAATAGTTTTGCCTAATTCAGAATCACTAAAACCAAGTTCTTGATTAATAATCAAGATTTACTAATTGTGTAAAGTAATCTACAAAATGGGAAAGTTAAAGAGAAAGGTTCCTTTGATAAAAAATTTTAAGACTTAATCATGAATCCAAATATGCAAAGAAAAATCTATGAATTTCATAAATTAGGAAATGAAAAATAATCAAACTTTATTGAGATGAAAATAAAAATAAGAAGATGGTAAATATGAAACTCTAGCATCAAAGTTCCAGAGAAGTTGAGAAGAAACCTTAAAGAGAGAAATTGGATTCTTACACTGTCTTTGAAGATCCTTTACCCAGAACTTCATTGTACTGCAACAAGAAGAACAAAGACACACACAAAACAAACTCAACAAAAAAAAAAGAGATAAATAAACAAACAAAGAAAGTTGAAAGAAATAAGAATTTTACTCTTCCATATCTTCCAGTAGGATCAACTTCAACATACTCAGAGTAATCTGAATCAAGATGATTGAGATTGTTCATCATACACCCACCCAAGAAAAATCAAAAAGAGCAAAGATGGAAAATATAAAGAAAACCCAAATATCCCAAAAGAATGAAAATATCAATATATTTACATAGTAAAAAGTTATCTCCTTTTTAATTTTATATGTTTTTTTGATTACTTATACGCTATAGCCTTTTTCATCATAATTATCTTTGTACCTCTGACATAATAAGTTAAACAAATGAATGTGTAAATGAGCAGGAGACAAAAGAAACCAGATTCTTTTGTCCTTTTCTTTATTTTTTGGTTGGTTATAATTTTGTTTAGTTGAACATACAATAAAACATGACTATCTCATGAAATGTGTAAATAAAGGTGAGTGCAAGATGCAATGTTTATATCTTTTTCATATCTATGTAAATAACCAAAACATGACTATCTCATCATCTAGATGAGAAACAAAAAAAAAAAAAAAAAAAAACACTTGTTTTTAACTTTATGGCCTTGAATGGCATCAGTTTTTGGAATAGATTTTGGCTTTTGATTTGAAGAAACTAAAAAAATTGCCATTCATGATTTTACAAAAAATGGATTCTCTTAAATTTAGGAAAACCAGATTCTATGAGATTTTAACAATTCCTTCATAAAATCTAAAAACCACTTTTTCCAGCTTTCTAACAAATTACGTGACTTTTTCTTTTATTTTTTCATCATAAAACAAGAAAAAAACATTTTTAAAAATAATGAAATAAAAAAACCAAAAACTAAGCAAATTACCATTCAAGAATTTGCAAAAACTAAATTCTACAGCAAAAACCAAAAGCTAAAAAAACCAAAAGCCAAAAACAAAAAACTAAAAGCTAAAACCCATTTAAAAACTACCAAACATTCATGGCCTATATATTTTGATTACTTATAGCCTTTTTCACCATAATTATGGTCCAAAACGAGTAGAAAAATGTTTGATTTCTGATTTTTTTTTTCCTTACAACAAACAAGAATTCAATTAAAACTAGATAAGAACCGGTGTCATATACATACACTAGGATTTACCCCGTGGTACACCACATGTCCATAATTTAATATATTTCTTTGGTTGTTCATTTTCGTATTTGGTTTATATAATTTAGTTTTGTAAATGTTTATTTCATTTAATTTAATATAATTTTATAAATTTGTATTATAAGTATATTCATAGATATATGTGGTAAACCCGCGGTATATCGCGAGACGATTTTTTTGTAAATAAAAAATTATATTTTAACTTAACCCGTAAAAGATTTTAAATATAGACAACCCGCAGAAAAATATATTCATATTTATGTAAACTAAAACCCGTTCAATCATATTTATGTACAATATTATTATCTATATTAATATTTGTAGAGTTAAAATATTAATAATACTTTTAATTTTTGTAGAGTTTAAATATTTTAATTATTTTAATATTTTATAAACCTTAAATAAACTATCATAATTTCTTTTTAAAGTTTTAATATTTATCACATTTTAAACTTGTTAAAAATTTAAAATTTATAATATTTGAAACTTTTTATAAATTTTATTTTCCTTAAATAAAGAACCGGATTAAGCTAATAAAAGTTTTAATTTGGATACTTGAGAAATCAAAGTTCATGCTCATTTGTAGTTGTAAACATATTAGTCTTATTTATAAAGGTTTTGAACTATTATCTAAAATTTTCTATCTTATGTAGACGTTGTACATAGGTTTACAAAAAAAGAAAAAAAATGTAGACGTTGTACATATATTTTTTCCTTTATTGATTGAGTCAATTACGTCCGTTTTCAAAAATTTTAATTGCAAAAAATGGGTGAAAATTTTTTGTATTTTTATTATAAACATATATGTAATAATATAAATTTAAAACAAATAAGATTATATAAATATATTGGAGAGAGATTCGGTTTATTAGAGAGGGATTTTAGGAAATTTTTTGATGTAATGAATATTTGGTTTCCAATTTTGGGATTTGCTTGTGATTTAATTACAAAATTTACTTTTAAGTTTTGTTATTTATTCAAATGGCAAGAGTTTGATTATGCAAATATTACAAAATAAAAGGTTATAAGCCAAAATAGATTTTAGTACAAAATGTACTTCAAAAATGTTAAGATAGATGCATACTGTATTTACTTTTTATTATAAATAATAAAACTTCTAACTTCTTTTTTTACGGTTAAATTTGTTTTTTAAGTTATATAAAACAGACTGTGTTTAGTTTATAAAATGTCTTTAATACAAGTAAAATAATTAATTCACTATTGTGGTTAGTTTCATAGTATAACATAGAATAATATATCCCTTTATTTTAAACACAACTCAAAAACCATAGTAATACTGTCTTCTATGTCTCTCCGAAAAAATAAGTTTAACTATGGCCTATGGGTCAATTGGTATCTTTTTCTATACTGAGATATATCATAAGACTAATAAGTTGATTCGAGATTTCGGTATCAACCTCTTGGCCTAAAAAAATAATCTTTCTCGATAAAGTCGGTTGATTAGGATAAAATTTTATTCCTTAGGAGCCGTACAGGCACCTTTTGGTGCATACGGTTCAACAAAAATTATGAAAAAATCAATGTGTTGATTCCAACCTCTCCTTTTTTCATAGAAGGTTTTTCTTTCTAACTTATAACGGAAGGGCTTGCTCCCAAAAGTAAAAGAAAAATTGAGTTTTGTCGCCTTTTATTAGATATTAGAATCCTCTAATAAAACGATTGATTAAGCCTGTGAGACTCATTTGATTCATTGATATGTTTTTACATCGAGATTCAGTTGAAATGGCGATGGTTTTTTCTTGTTCCTGAACGGGCTTCTTCCTTTTTTTATTCCATTTTTTAGGTTTATGCTCTACCCCGAGTAAAAGGAAAAATTTGCCCGATTTTGATTTGCACATATAGGACAAATGAACCAAATACCGCGTCTTTTTTTACTACTCCTTCTTTTTTTTTTCAATTCATTTCTTTCACATGTCTTCTGTCAAATAGTCAACAAATTTTGTATATATTATTTGTATTTGTAGCAACAGTTTTAGTATCACCCTCGTTTTCTAAATTTTTTTATAGAAATTTTTTCAT